AGATTTCATCTTCCTCTGTGACTGGACATTGTGAAAAGTTTCACACAGTTATTAACGGCAGAAAAGTGTCCGTCATTGACTCTCCGGGTCTGTTTGACACCAGCTTACCTGTGCATGAAGTGGTCAACAGAATTAAACTCTGCATTCCTCTCTCAGCTCCAGGTCCACATGTGTTTTTAGTTGTGATTCAGCTTGGCAGATTCACTGATGAAGAAGAAGAAGCTGTGAAAATCATCCAAGCAGCCTTTGGTGAGGAATCCTCCATATACACCATGGCTCTGTTCACTCATGGAGATCGATTGGAGGGGAAAAACATTCACACGTTTGTGCGGGACAGTCCAAAACTGCTCAGCTTTATCAGAACCTGCAAAGGACGATATCACGTGTTCAACAATAAAGAGAAAAATCCAGAGCAGGTCATTCAGCTTCTTGAGCAGATTGATAAAATGGTAACTGGAAATGGTGGTCAACACTACACCAGTGAGATGCTGGAAAAGGTAGAGAGAGCGATTGAGAAAGAGAAACGGCGCATTCTGAGGGAGATGGAGGAGCAGAGACAGAAGGAGATCGCAGCTCTGAGGGAACAACTTGAAGATGAGGCCTATGAAAAAGCACTGCAAACGCTAAACAATAAATATGAGCAGGTGGCAAGATACAAAGCAGAAATTGACTTCCCAGCAATACTCCATGTGGTCACCACTTTAATTAACGCATTAAGCAAATTCTTTTTTTGAGCAACACAAATGCTGACCATGTGAGGCTATAAAAAAAGAGAACAGTTTTTAAATTCTCTATTTTATAAAGGTTTACAAATCAAGTACGTGCTTATACTGTAAATCCTGGTGAGTTTGACATATGAAAGTTTAATAATATGGTGAAGAAATGTAGGTACAAGTGAAATGTGTCCAAACCTGAAACTATATAAACTCTTAAATCAGGGAAGCAGTGGTGTTCTGTATAAACTGTATTTAAGATTTTGTATTTGTTTATGATAGAATACACATGGGATCCTCCGGCATGGACTTAAAATGCGCTAATATTTGTGTTTAACAATGTTGGTACATAGAGTGCTCAACGTAATTGAGTGCACCCCATTTTGAAAATGAATATTTGTATCCATTTCTCAGTAATTATAGGCAATGTATTTTGGTGCAATTAAACAAAATAGATTTATTAAACAGATATATTTGTTAAAATAATATTTTGGTCACCAAACATATATAGAAATTGAAAGATATTACAATTAAATTCAAACAAAATATTGCAAAAAATGATTACAACCTACAAAATTTCAACAAAAAATTAGCTTCTCTTGATTTTCCCTCTTTTTTAAATTTGTATTGAATTTTTTTTTATAACATATACATTTAGGTGTATTAGTTTTTAGACCAATATCATAAGTTATTTTGTTAGATAAGCTTCAGATTTAGCTTCAATACTGACTAATCTAATGTATATGCACAAATATAATATTGTTTAGCTTCCTATTAAAAATATGAATTTAAAAGAGAGATTTGTGAGGGGTGTACTTATATATGCTGAGCACTGTATAGCCTGATCAGTAAAATGTATTATAAATAAAGGTATAAAAATATAAAAGGATTTTACTTTTTACTTTAAATATAAAGTAAAGTAATACAGTTAAGCTAACAGTGATGTAAAAGTGTAGTTCTCTGTGGTGGAAATCTGACATCCAACATTGCTGACTGTAAACATGAAGCAACCAGGTGGATCATATTTTTTTGGTCTACTAACACATTTTGCTGAGCGTTTTTGTGTCTGTGTTGTGAAAATTTGTGTGTTGTCAAATGAAGATGTTTTCTTTGGGTGTACTCACACTAGGTACAGTTGCCTTGAACCATGCCGAAGCCTCCCCTCTCCCCCGACGGGCTCTACTCAAACTGCATTTTGCCTTCAGAGCCGAAGCACACTTACGCCATTGATGATGTGAGCGTTCAGTTTAACAGAAGAGAAGCGCTCTCGCTCAGCACAGTGGAGATTGCTTCAGTTATATTGATTTAGATGTTTGGGATGCAGTGACACAGTCAAATATTTTGCCGAGCAGATCCACATCCTTTGAAAATCATAAATTATCTTGAATGTCATTGTGCTGCACGTATTAGGAGGTTTGCTGAAGGTGCAGCTGACGTGCAGTAAGGGGTTTTCATCTTTAATAAACAACGACAGTTTGTGTTCATAGAAAAGTAAGAATGATTAATAAATCCATATGAAACAGTCCCTTAAAAGTGATGCTGCATCTTCAGTTATGGGATCAGGTGTGCTTTGCACTCTGAACTGCGCCTTGGCCTGATTTTGAGGCCTTACACTTGTCAAACGAACCGGGAAACATGCCTGGGTATGGTTCGGGTAGCCTAGTGTAAGTGCACCCTTAGGTTGTTAGTCTTTTCTCTATTCTCGGCAACCATAGTTCTCAAATCAGTGGTAAACTGGGTGATCTAATAAAAAAACTCATAAAAAATGACCTTCAGAATTTCAGTATTTATTTTGAAAATATAATTTATGTCTATAATTTATATCAAGTCTACCCCAGTTACATTTACACCCTGACAAAATATTTATATAGTGTGTTTTTACCACAGAAACTGTTGTCTCATTTCCAGTTCAACAATTTTTTAATTGTGAGAAAATTAAGGTGATAATCAAATGAACTTATACTAAAAGAAGACCATAACACTTGAACAAGTTCCCCCAATAATTACAAATGTTATAACTGCTCTGTTGTTAGCTCACATATTTAAAAAGCATATTTTAGACTGGCATATTTGAAAGCGCTCCTCAATCCCATGATAATTGACATGACCAATCAGATTAAAGTAGGCGGAGCATATGATTAACAGGTTGCAGATTTAAATTATGCAGGAAATCCACAGAGAGAGCAAGGTAGGACTTACATTGAAATATACTTACAACACTTTGTAGTGTATGTTTGCATGCAGGTGTGTTTGTATGGGTGTTTCTGTCACACTTCAATGATGACGAAGGAACCCAAGTGCAAGTGACAGTTTATTAATACACAAAAATAACACAGAGAGACTGGGTGGCTGGAAGTCGAAGGTCATTAGTAGCAATAATCACAGTCAACAGAGTGAATCAAAAGTTCATCAGGAAGAACCTCAATCTCCGTCAACAGAGCGAATCAAAAGTTCATCGGAGGAGAAACTTCAACCAGCACACTAACCAGCGAACACAACGGGGAGAGCCTGACAAAGACACAGAGACAAGTGAGGACAACGAACTGACAAGGTGAGACAGGAACGCTGAACATTTATAGCCACAGTAAATGCGCTACACCTGGAGCGCAATAATCAGCTGAGCGGTGCTAGGCGACCGATGACCATGATCATGTGACCGCCCAGCTGATGACATGAAAACAACAACAACACCGACAGCCACGCGACTCACACAAATACAGAGACAAACGCAAACACACACCGCAAACACAAATAAACAATCGCACCACGCAGACACATCATAGAAGAGCAGATAGATCCACAACCGTGACAGTTTCCTAGTGATGAGTTGCAGCTGGAAGGGCATCCACTGCGGAAAACATATGCTTTATAAATTGGCAGTTCATTCCGCTGTGGTGACCCCAGATTATTGAATGGACTAACCCGAAAAGAAAATGAATATACGCACAACAACTTTTACTGTGGAATGTTAAATAACTGACAGTACTCCAAGTAAAATTAGAAAAACTATTGGACATTTTATCTCAAAAGGGCATCACAGTGGTGCAGTACGATCGCCTCACAGCAAGATGGTCACTGGTTTGAGCCTCGGCTGAGTCAGTTGGCATTTCTGTGTGGAGTTTGTATTTTCTCCCCGTGTTCATGTGGGTTTTCTCTGGGTGTTCCAGTTTCTCCCACAAGTCCAAAGACATGTGGGCAAAGCTGAATTAGCTAAGCTAAATTGTCCATGAATGAATGAATGCTTCCCAGTGATAAGTTGTGCCGGAAGGGCATCCTCAAAACGTGCTGGATAAGTTGGTGGTTCATTGCGCTGTGGTGACCCTAGATTAATAAAGGGACTAAGTCGAAAAGAAAATTAATGAATGAATTTCATTTAAAATGGAAAATATGGTAGCCTATCATTTAAGATGTGTAATTCTTAACTAAATATGACAAGACTAGACACGTGGAGTATAGTAGGCATTTAAAAATGAAAGAGCTTGCATGCTTTAAACGAGCCTGGTCTTTAAAAAAGGAAAAACTAAAAACATTATAATTAATAGGCTATTATAACAATACTTTATTTTACTGTTACTCAGGCCTTTTTCTCAATAAAACAAAACGGTGCTCATAATGTCACAAACAAGCTTACGGCTAAAGCTCAAACAGAAAGCGAATAACAAATAGCCTCTCCTGTATATGGTACTGTGATGTAACCCAGACCAGCAAGTTCTGAGAAAACGAAAGCAAAGCAACCGAGAGCTAGATCGCGTCTGAATCCTCAAGCCATGAGCTCTTTATTTAAACGTGAGTTGCATTCTTTGTATTAGAGAAAGTGTTCATGTAACTTAACAATATGTGTGCATTGTCTTTGAAAAGATGAACACTCAGTCTTTAAAGCGATTTTAAAGAAAACAAGAGAAGTAACTTGGATAGAGACAGAAAAAGAGCGATTTTAAAAGGCTGGTTCAACCAAATATGATAATTACTTGATCAGTATTGCCAACAGAGTTAGTAAAAATAGGCTTCCAAGATATTTTTGGTGTAACAGCATAAATGTATAAGGTGTTTTAACAAAGTTAAGATATGGAATAGTGATTGTTCATTGGGTTTATGAAATGAAATAACCAATATCTCAATAATCAATTTGAGAATTTTTTAATAATTAATTTTGCCTCATGGAAGAAATGTTTAAAACAGGTTTTCATATTTTTTCTGGACTGTGTTTTCTTAAGAATTTTATGCCCCCTTTTCACTGTACTATAAGTAACAAACTAAAATCATAATGAAAGATATATCATTTTCATGTCGAATGTAGAGCAAGTGCAACAGTTTTGACATGACTTTATACTAGGCATGGGCTGGTATATGATTCTGACAGTATGATAACCTTGCATAAACATATAAAAAAATATGTAAAATATATTCTTTTTAAATATCTGGGTAAAAACAAAAAACAAAATTTCCCCTTTTGAACACAATATATTTTATTTTGAGCAACATTTAAAGTATTTTGGAGCAGTAAACATGTCAGGCTAAATAATTCAAACAAAACATTGACTTCTGCTGTCTTCATTAGCTTCAAAAACACTGATTGCTTTACATTTGAAAATGGCATCTTTGGATATCTTTTCTGCTGGAGATACTGTTGTCATAAAAAAAAAATATATATATATATATATTTATATATCATAAGAATAATATAGCAGAAAATTTTGCCGGTTTTAAAACCTTTACTTTTCCAAACCATGGTATACCTTGAAATCAATGCCTACTTTATACTCCTGTAAGATGTTTTTTCCAGGACAATGAACAACAATCTAAAAGTCTCGTGTTTCAGTTTTTTTCACAGAATTACTGATGCCTTCTGTAATTGTTGCTGCCATTGCAATGGGGATTGAGGTATGCTTAAGTGTTTTGTTTGTTTGTTTTGTTCTCTAAGCTGATACATTTTAACATGTACAAGTGGCCAAAGCATGGTAATATGTAAATCACTTCTAGATCTGTAAAGAAGAAAAACAGCATTTGTCTAATATAGGTAAGGTTTTTGTTTTTTTCATACCATAAGCACAGTCAGCGTACATCATATAAATGTGTTGTACATTTGAATCATTTGAAAAAAAAAAAATCCTTCTTGTTCACTTTCAGTGCGTTATTCTGGTGATCCACTCCGGATACTTTTAGTTGGAAAAACAGGTGTGGGAAAGAGCGCAACAGGCAACACCATCATTGGACAAGACGTTTTTAAGTCAGAGATTTCATCTTCCTCTGTGACTGGACATTGTGAAAAGTTTCACACAGTTATTAACGGCAGAAAAGTGTCCGTCATTGACTCTCCGGGTCTGTTTGACACCAGCTTACCTGTGCATGAAGTGGTCAACAGAATTAAACTCTGCATTCCTCTCTCAGCTCCAGGTCCACATGTGTTTTTAGTTGTGATTCAGCTTGGCAGATTCACTGATGAAGAAGAAGAAGCTGTGAAAATCATCCAAGCAGCCTTTGGTGAGGAATCCTCCATATACACCATGGCTCTGTTCACTCACGGAGATCGATTGGAAGGGAAAAACATTCACACGTTTGTGCGGGACAGTCCAAAACTGCTCAGCTTCATCAGAACCTGCGATGGACGATATCATGTGTTTAATAATAAAGAGGAAAATCCAGAGCAAGTTATTCAGCTGCTTGAGCAGATTGATAAAATGGTGACTGGAAATGGTGGTCAACACTACACCAGTGAGATGCTGGAGAGAGCAGAAAGAGCAAATGAAGAAGAAAGACGACGTATCCTGAAGGAGAAGCAGGAGCAGAAACAGAAGGAGATCGCAGCTCTGAGGGAACAACTTGAAGATGAGGCTTATGAAAAAGCAATGAAAAGGTTAAACAATAAATATAGCTAACAACAGACAAGATAACAAGCTTTCCTTTTTATTGTTGTAAGGCACTAAGCAATTTTTTCTGGTGACCAAAAAATAAAAACTTGCGATGTTTGGCTAAGAAAAGAAATTCTCAAACTCTAGTTTATATGATAATATTATATATAAAGTTTTTGACTCTTACTAATGTCTTAGTATTTTGTATGTCTGTCAAACTTTAATGTTTCAGATCATCAAAAAAAAAATTAAACACTAGTAACACAAGTAAACACATCATGCAGTTTTTAAGTGAAGGTTTTTATTATTAAGGGGAAACAAAATCCAAAGCTACATAGCCCTGTTGAGGCAACCCTCCCCCTGTTAAAACATTACTTTAAGCTGTAGTGACATTGCACTTTTCACCCCATAGACTTTTATTCATACGCACACAAATGCGCCAGACCGGAAATGCAAGGTCATGCGACAAGTTTCACAGTTCGCTGCATTAGAAAGGTCAAGCTTGGTAAATTCTGACCTGCGAAATCACATCACTTGACTGCGTAAGACCAATCGAGGATCAAAACATGACCTCCCTGGACAGAAATTCAAAATATAGTTATGCTTTTTTAAATGTCCAATCATTTTGTTTAATCATACTTCTTTTCACAGCTCCGTACAACAGAATTTTGCATGCAAAAACTGTAGTGACCACAGCATAACTCTGGTTTATCACACCTCAATTCAATTTCTCTAGCCACACACAGGCCTGATTGCTGCCACACCTGTTCACAATCAAGAAATCGCTTCAATCAATCAATCAATCAATCAATCAATCAATCAATCAATCAATCAATCAATCAATCAATCAATCAATCAATCAATCAACAGCCTTTATTTCTCAAATACACTTCCATGTAGTCAAATATACTGTCATGTAGTGAAATTGGACCACCCCCAGACCATACACAAACATCACATTTCAGGGAAAAACAGGTCAACAGGGAGTAGCAAAAAGTATAAAAAGGAGGTAAGATACATTTCAGGAGAGAGTGATCGCCTTCGCCTAGAGCCAAAGAGAACTGCCTAGACCTGGAAATAGGACCTGTCTGACAAAGTGAATTAGTCCAAAATATCCTCAAAAACTAGACATCATGTTAAGATACAAAGAAATTCTGTTGTGTATCAAATAGCGCTGTCAAAATTAGTGTGTTAATGCATGCGATTAATTTTAGATAATTAACGCGTTAAAAAAATTAACGCAATTAACGCAGTTGCTGGTATTTTTTACTTCCTGTTTTGGTGGACGTGTGTTTAACATGCAAGAAATGTGGATAAGACCAAGGAAGCACTTTTTGAAGGCAAGTTTCAGTATAAAACAATTAGTCGCATCACCAGGCTATCCAGAGTTTCATCCAATTTCGGGTGTTTCATTTTTAACTTTCGACTTCTGTTGTAGTGATACCGCATGGCGAACAGAAAGAAAATCCTCCGCATTTCGTGACTCGGTGTTCCTTTAAGGTAATAAAATCACTGCTTAGGCTACACGGTAAAATTTTAATAAGAGTATATTCTTAATCATATTAATACCAGAGTATTGGTGTCTTATGTGAATGTACTCAGAAAGTCTCTGGTAAAGTCGCGAGCTGTCAAAGACAGGGCATTACTCTGCCTTTCAGCATGAGCCCTCTGAGTTTAGCGTGTTTCCTCATTAAACGCAATGAAAGCGTATGCTTCGCGTTGTTGTGTCAGAATCCTTGTGAAATACAGTAATACTTTAGGACGTTTAGTTTAAGCAAATTTGATGAACGCGATCATGCGTGTTGAATCTGAGGGGAGTCGCTCCAGTATGGAAGGCCGTTGGGGCCAAAACGTCTGCAGCGCGTTGTGTGTGTGTGTCTGTGTCAGGCCCGTTGAGGGGTGTCAGGGGTGGAGTGAGTGACGTATCTTAGTAGGGGCGTGTGCGCGACATAGGCTACCTGAAGAGCTAGGAGGGATGCAGGGGAGAGGGTTGTGCAATGTATTTAACGACCGGTTTGCGAGAAATTATCTTTCATTTGCGGGCAATTGGGAGTCTTTGTGCACTTGCGGAATACTCCTAGTCTAAGCAACTGGATGAATGTAAAGGGGGATTAAGCAAAATTGTTTCTACTCTATAATTAATGTTCTCAACTCACAGCAATAAAACTTTACAATGAGTGCAACAGTTTGTATTCTATAGTTTATTATTATAATTTTTCATTTTCCATATCTGCAATTCCTGTATTTTGGCATTTTTTTGCAGTCCACTTAGGATCCGGCATGGAAATCAATGTTTTCTTTATTGGCATTGATTGTTTTGAAATTTAAATGTCATTAACATGCCTGTGTTTTAATTTCTTTAATAAATATGGCTGTCAAGCCAGGATCTTGATGGCTTATTGTGGGTATGTTGTTTACATGAAGAAATCTGTGTCACAAGTTAAACAAAAATTCTATTAAACAATTATATTTTGAATTTTAATTCTAATAAACAATTATATTTTGAATTTAAATAGTTTTTGTCTTGCGATGACATTATTTTTACATTTGAATAGCCAAAATTACAAGTTTCAGTATTTTAAATGCGATTAATCGTGATACATTTTTTTAGAAAGGTGCGATTAATTAGTTAAATTTTTTTTAATCGATTGACAGCACTAGTATCAAAATATCCTGAAGGTGAATGTCGACCCATCTGTTAGTAAACTCAAGCTGAAGCAAACTTGGGTTCTGCAGCAGGACAATGATCCAAATCACACCAGCAAGTCCACTTCTGAATGGCTGAAGAAAAAAAAAAAAAAACTGTAGAGTGGCCTAGTCAAAGTCCTGACCTGAATCCAATTAAGATGCTGTGGCATGACCTTAAAAGGGCAGTTCATGCTCAAAAACCCTCAATTGTCAATTACAACAATTCTGCAAAATTTTATCAGGCCAAAACTCCTCCACAGTGCTGTAACAGACTCATTGCAAGTTATCGAAAATGCTTGATTACAATTGTTGCTGCCAAAGCAGTTATTAACTTTAGGGGACAAACACTTTTTTCACACAGGTCTATGTAGTTTGAGACTAATATTTGAGTTAGTTTGACAATCTGAAACAATAAAGTGTGACTAACACGCAAAAAGAGAAAAGAAAAAAGAAATAACACTAACACTTTTTCAACCCAAGCTCATTCTGGAAACGTAGCATTTACATGGCCGGAGGTACGTAAGGCCGCGTTTAGTTTTTTTTGAGCGAACGCTGCGGGGCGGTGTGGCGCCGCTCCGCCCCTCCTCTTCGTGCTCGCCGGCCTTCGGCTCGCCTCCGAGTGGAGGGCTTTCCCGATGCAACCAGTTTGTCCGCTTAGCTCACAGCATTGCGTCGGCAGAGCGGAGACCCCGGAGGAGGAAGAGGAGCCGGCCGCAGGGTCGACGACCGGGATCGAGTCCGGGGAACAGCGGTTCCAGAAATCAGGTAAGACAAAAAACGGAATCTGAAAAATAAGGGCAAGAACGCGGCGGGATTCGAAAACGCGGTCGAAATCGAAAACGAGGGCTTTTGCTTTTTTTTTTTTTCTGGACTTTTTTTTTTCGCTTTTGCGAACCGTGGCTCGGGTTTAGGGAAGGAGGAGGGTGGCCGAGTCGGCAAATGGCGCGCGCTCCCGAGAGGCGCCCGAGACGCAAAAAAGCGCACACAGTGGCCTCTCTCGGATCCGCGAAAACAAAAACCGCTCGAATACGTACCTCCCGGGACGTAAATCACGGTCCGCAGAATGCTGCGGGGCTACGTTTCCACAATGAGCCCGGGTTGCACTTTTTCAAACAACTGAAAAAAAAAAGATATATATATATATATATATATATATATATATATATATATATATATATATATATATATATATATATATATATAATTAAATTTATATATTCTAGCTATTTTATTTTATCATATATTAATAATTATAGAGACATTTTTTCCTCAAGCTTCTTCACTTTCGTAGCAACTCACCTGAAGTATTTCTCACAGTAAGTGCCATGGCAGAGGACTAAACTCAGAAGTTTGGCAAATACTGCTGTAGTTGTCACACATAATGAATCATATTTTGTTGTGTAATAATGTAATACATTTATAGGCCAAAAATGTAGTTGTTTAGACTTATATGAGTTTTATTTGTTTTTTTAATTTCCAAAATGTTACATCCAGCGACATGCTCACATACCATGTCAAAAAAATTTAAACTAGAACGAATGTTAAGTTGTAGGCCATTGTCGTTATGATTCTAATTAAATGCAAGATCCATAGTTTTGTCATCAATAAGATATTGAGGTACATAATGCATGATTGAGCATCTAAAATGTATAGTTCTAAAGTGACATTTTAGTGACAATATATATATATTTTCAAAACATTTGGCTAATTTGTTCTTTGGGGAACCAAATATGGTTTGTCAAACCATGCAGTGCTGCTTTGTTTTTTTAAATTGTTTGTTTTTACATTATGATTGTTGTCAACACATTTAACTGTATATTAAGAGACATATTGGGAAACAATACATCAATTACACTATGCAGAAAACAATGGGCAATAAAAACAGATGAAATACTATTGTTAGGAAAAAATGTTCTAAACAGTACCAAATAGGGGTTCTTCAGCTTTTAACAACAGCAGAACCATTTCTAGTGCTATAATAGAACTATTTTCATAAATTTCCAAAAAGAACCATGCTTTGACCTTAGAAATATTGATAATAATATTTTCATAAATATTACAGTATTCACAATAGTAATAAGACCATTTATATCAGTAATATACGTATATCAGTAATAAAACATATATTTTATTAATATTAAAATCTTTAATATTAAGTTTGTATATTATTTGTAGTATTTTAGTTGTAGTATTTGTCTAGTCTTTTACATCTTAAAAAAAAAAAAAAACATCCAACAGCTTGCACCGGTTAAATCATTTGATTTTTTACATTGATGTAAACTTGTGTTATAAATGACAGTTCTTGAATAAGAGTTATTAGCTTATATAGAGCTATAACACATTAATAAATTACAAATGACACTGAACATGAATACAAAATGAAGACTTTGAAGTGGCCTAATCAATGTCCTGACCTAAATCCAATTAAGATTCTGTGGCCTGACGTTAAAAAGGCTATTCATCCCCAAAAACCCTCAGTTATGGCTTAATTACAACAATTCTGCAATGAGTGGGCCAAAATTCTTCCACAGTGCTGTTGTAAGTTATCAAAATGCTTGATTGCAGTTGTTGCTTCTAAAAAAAACACATATTATAAATACCCAACAGCATGCACCAGTTAAGTAATTAAATTTTTTATATTGATGTAAACTCGTATTATAAATGACAGTTCTTGAATAAGAGTTATTAGCTTATATAGAGTTATAAGTAATTACTAAACTGCAATTGACACTGAACATAAATAAATTTAAAATTACGATTTTGGAGAGGCCTAATCAACACCTGATCTGAATTCAATTGAGATGCATGAACTTAAAAAGGCTATTCATGCTCAAAAACCCTCAATTGTGGCTTAATTTCAAAAATTCTGCAAAGATGAATGGACCAAAACTCCTCCACAATGCTGTTACAGATTCAATACAAGTTATCAAAAATGCTTGACTGCAGTTGTTGCTGCTAAAATAAAATAATTAAAATAATTAATTAATTAAAAAATAAAATTTAATAAAAATTAAAACATTATAAATACTTAACAGCAAGCACCAGTTGAATAACTTTATTTTTTATTTTGATGTATACTTGTTTAATAAAGGAGAGTTCTTGAATGAGAGTTATTAGCTGAACACATTAATACATTACAATCGACACTGAACATGAATAAATACATAAAGAGGTAAAAAAAATAAATAAATTAAAAAAAAAATGTACAAGCCATGAAGAACAAGTTCCTGTGAAATGTCTTCACAATCCTCTATGATGCCTTTATGTTCACTGTGAGTGTATTTTGGTCAACTGGAGGGGTATATCATCTCTGCAGATGATTTAAGATTTCACAGCATCTGAGAAACACAAATGAGCATGAAGTCAGTGTGTCTCTTCCATATGTTTAGGTACAAACAATTGTTTATAAAGGCCAAAATTAAGAAAATCATGTAATACTTTTGCTGTGTTAGAAAGAAAATGTCACAAGGTGTCTTTTATACATGTATATATTTATATAAAACCCATATTACTATATTATGTCCATAATCCCAAGTTATAATTAAGGGCAAAACATCTACTGTAGGTTATACTCACAGTGAAGAAGAGGTAGCCTCAACTGAGCAGTGCTGGTCATGTTCTGTTAAACTACAAACAGGAAGAAAACATGATTGGAATGCCAGCAAGTTACATTCTGAATGTTAAACTGCACAGACATTTTAATAAATCATCAATACCTGTTATTGACAGTCTGTGTAGTTCCAGTAACCATTATTGAGCTGCAGGTGTTAAATCTGAAAAACAAAAAGGCGGGAAATAAAGAACCCTAAACTCACCATTTCATATAAAGGGGGAACCAATAGGAGAGATGAATCTGATGATGCAATCCACGTGACAACTACAAACCACTGGGGGGAAATGTCATAACATGTTTTTTTCCATCTTGGTTTTATTATTGAGGCACGCTATGTGCAAAATTGCCTCTACAGATTGCTTATGCTTGCTGTGAGGAATTATTTCAGAAAGCTGGATAGTGAAAGTGGATGACGTGAGTTGTCTTCCATGTTTGGCGTCTTCAGTCTGATCTTACAGACTGACAGTAGAGCCATGCTCGTGCAGTCTGACATGCTACAATGGAGGATTATTAAAAATTGCACCATCTGAGCTGGGCTTTAGAGAGGTTAGTTTTTGTGCTGTGTTTGATTGCTCGTTAAATAGATTTCATGGTAATGAAAAGCTGGGTGGAGAAGTGATGCATGTGACAAGCAAAAACAAAAACAAGTCAAGCAAGTTTATGTTTCTTTAATGTGTGTCTATATAATGACAGAGAAAACAATTGAGACAAAAGGACTCGCTACAGCAGCAGGAACCTGGTGAAAGGTGAGACAGAACATGCACGCATCTCGTAATATTAGGTTTATCGTGTTGTGTGCAACCTAGGCTAATTCTGATTATGCACTCCTATATACATTTCTGGAGAAACACCAAATACGTCCCAGGAGCTAAATTTTTTTTTTGCGAATCCACCAGGCCGCTGGTCAAATTTCTCTGCGGCGAGCGCCATTCATGCCTGCTTTTCTCTGGTAAATTCACCAAAGGCCGCTGTCGACTGACTGAATGACTGACTGACCCACCCTCCTCCTCACCTAAACCCAAGCAAATGTTTTCAAAAGCACCAAGCTGATTTTTACCACATTTTCTGATTTTTACCACATTTTCACCCTGTTATTTACTTGTTTATTTAATTTTTTGTCTTTTGTTTTTGTCTTACCTGCTTTCTGGAACCATTCTTCACAGGACTCGAACCCAATCGTCGTGGTCAACTCATCTCTGCATCTCAAATCCTCCGATGTACACGGCGAGCTACTCGACAAACTGGTAACAGCAGAAAAGCAGTCCACGCAGAGATAAACAGCTCGTAGCGGTCGTTTTAAAGACGAAATGGAGCCATAGGTTTGTCTGGCTACAAAATTCACAATCTCCAGAAATGTATATAAGGCTATGTTTTTACAGGAATGGTTTAAAGGTTTGAAATCACTTGAGGGTGATTAAATCCTTACAGCTCACAAAATTACTTTTGTGAAAATAAGACATGTTGTATTGGATGCAAAGGTAAATAAAGATTTTTCAGTAGAGATGCAGAAACAACTAAACACAACTCATGTGGGATGAACAAAAACGAGTTGAATCAAGCTTGAGGAATTCGTCGTGTGTTTATGGTTTAAAACTTTATAATTTACTTGAATAGCGTTGTTTTTATCTGTTAAAACATTAACTAATTGACTCACATTTTTATATTTAAGCAGGAACGACACTTTCTTGAAAAGTGGCACTTTCTGGCCTTGCTTTCTTGGTGGTTATGGAAATCACGGGGACCTCTAGTGGAGAACAATCAAATTTCTCAAGAGGCTTAACTTTGTGCTTGTGCTTGGTAATAGTCCCACTGTTTGCTGTAGCCGTAGGAGTGTTTTATCAGGTAAGTAATAAGAATTTATGATTCTTTGACTTCATACTCCATAGTTTGTCTATAGTAGTGTAGTATTGGCCAATTTTCTAAATCGCAGGAAGCCTAAAAACTCCTCCTGCAAAAAATAATTAAGTAATTTATAATATTTCTTTTTTTAAAATTACAATAAATATAAATGTTATCATTATTAATATTAAAATTAATATTCAAATTATATTAGTAATTTGCTGTCATTTTTTTAGTATACTGTAGTACATTTTATTTAATTTTGCTGTTCTCACTTACATAATTGAACTATAGTGTCCTGTACTAACTAGTAAAATGTAAAAAAAATTATACCTGATGTCTGAATATATTTTTGTTTGGCTGTATTGTATTTAATGTGTTTTTACTGTCCACCTCTATATTTTCATAAATTGAAGAGTTTAGTTAATCAGTTATCTAAAGATGCAGGTGCAAACATAGTTAATTTAAAGTGTCATGACCAGGAACAACATATCTGTAAAAAAGGACATGAATTTTTTTTTTATGAACATTTTTAAATATTAGAATTTATAATAATATGTAATTATATAAATCTATAATCTATATTTTTTACATAAATATCATATGAAACATAGGCTGATTCTGAATACTTGGCTCTATATTCAGTTGAAGTCAGAATTAGTAGCTACCTTCAAATTCTTTGTTCGTTAGGACGCAGTGTGAATCTAGGCTAAAGCATTGACTGTGAAACTAGAGCATAATTTTATGTATCTGAAACCTTAATCAATACAATGTACCTAACTTTCAGGACTATGGCCAACAAAATTTGAATTCCAACTATTCCAGTGGTTTGCAACTATTCCATTTAGGTACTGCACTTTTTCATCTTGTGTGTAAAAATACTGATAGATACCATACATCTTTTAATTAATGACTTTGTGATACTTCACAATAACAATACATAAAGATACTAATAAGTAGATTAAACCTTACTTTATTATGAACTAGGCCTACTGGTGAGTTAGAGAATGCATTAATCAAGAACTCATGTTAACTACAATTACATAAGTCTGTGTGAGAATAATTGCTATACCTTAATTACTTGTTAGTACACATTTGTTAATTAAGGGACTACTTTACTACATCCATTCAGCCAGCGGTAGAAAAAATAAGCCACGCCCACTGTTTGCTCATTTAAAATTATGTTTCTCTAGGAACTGCGTCATAATACAAAAAAAAAAAACATCGCAGCTTCCGGTTCAGGTCATGAGTTCATGCTGGTTAAGTTGCACTTTTAATGAATTCTCATAGACCAAGTTACATTTAGCTTAAACTATAGTGTTTAATAAAAAAAAGCATGTACTCACAAGTAATTAAGGTAGCCATTATTCACACATTAGCATGTGATTCATGTTGTAGTTAAAAGTTACTTGATTAGGCCTTGCCTTAGCTCATCACTAGTTCATAATAACAGGGTATATAAATTGTGAAGTTCAGTATCTTTTAAGACTCTTTCCATGCATTTTAAGACCTCATTGCCACTTTAGGATTCAACCTGTAACATCGGCGACATTTTAACTTTCAGCATTGAACTTATTCTTCAATGTGGAAGTGCGCTCATTGTTGCGATTGTTTTAAAACTTCCAATTCATCTGCTTATGGCAGAAATGACTAGGGATAATAAACCGCAGAAAACGACCAAACTACTTGCTCTACAAATAAGTGTTTAGATGATTATACAGACAAAATCATATAAGAAAATGTCAGTTTGCAACATCAAGCAGCAGAACGAGCTGTTTTCGACCTCTAAAATAAATCGAAGTGTTAAAAAATGTTAAGTTTACTTCACTTAAATAGTGAAGAATAGTGAATAGAAAAAACTAATGGACGTGGTCTAAGTTAACTAAGTTAAAATAGATAAGTTTTAATTAAGAATGATGTGAATACACTGTACAGAAAATTGGTTGCCCTAAATTTTTAAGCTAAATCAAATTAACCATCGAACTTATATTATGTTAAAATGAAAATTAAAATAAAATTAAGTCAGAACATGTTTAACTTAGTTTAATAGGTTACAATGAACTAAAAACATGCTGTCAAAACTAATTGATTATATCATTTTTTACACTGTAGGAATTTATAAGTCAAGTGTAATAGACATGGTTTAAGTTTAGTGAACTTAAATATTGAAGTTGTCTTAACTTAGTTGCCTGTTAACTCGCTCGTTCACACACATACACACACACACACACACACACACACACACACACACACACACACACACACACACAAACACACACACACACTACGGCCAATTTTGTGTCTTTGGGCTGTGAGGGAAACCAGAGCATCTGGAGGAAACTTGTATCCCTGTGCCATAAACACAGTGCCACCATGTCACCCCATACTTGATGTTACTTACTTTCACTTTATCAGAATGACCAATGGTTCCACTAATGGACCATGGTTAATTTAATACTAAAAACAGATTGAAGTCTGCAAATACACATTTCACCAATGAAGTATGTATCTGAGAAAAACCTCACCACAACCTTACAATGAGAAAATGACGGTTAGTGTTGCCATACACCTGAATGCTTCCAGGCCAAACTGTCCAATACCCCTCCCCCCCAAATACACAAAGAAAAATGCCTAAAAAATAAAAACGAGTAGGTACACACACTTGGTTTTTGTTAAATATTTAACATAAAATGCACGTTCAATATCCAAACTGATCCCAAACACTCCCAAATTTTGTCAACCTGTTTAAGCCATTTTTACCAGCATAATCAAAGTCTAAACATGCAGAAAGACTTGCATCATATAAGGTCATCCAAAAGTAAACAAATATAAATTTAAGTTAAAGTATTAAATAAATAATTTTTCAAAAAGAAGATAGGGAATGAGGTTAAGCTGCGGTCACATTAGAGTTTGAGGATGCGATATTCTGTCGTGTGGCGCTGCAAAAAGGGGCGGGATTAAACAAGCTTATTAGACATTTTAAAAAGCGAGGGATTGCTCCATGTTTTAAATTTCTGTCCAGAGAGATCATGTTTTGATTCTCAATTGGTCTCACGCAGTCAAGTAATGCGATTTTGCATGTCAGAGTCACCAAGCGTGAACTTTGCACCGCAACAACCTGCGAAACTTGACACAAGACCCCACGTTTTCTGGTCTGACGCATTTGCGTGCGTATGAATAGAAGTCTATGAGAGGAAAACCCCTGTGTGACCGCAGCTTTAGGCTGGATATTTATGTTATATTTGGAAAAATTCGATTGGCTAGCAAATGATTAGCCATAGGGACCAGCTGCAGTCAATCATATCATGTGCTCCTTTCGAAATTAGTTTGTGAAACTTCACTAAAAATGTATTCTTTTCATTTGCACATATTTGTACTATAAAGCTCAGATGTTTGATAGACGTAACTAATATATATGTATAATAAGTTCAGCCAAGTAAATCTTTTATATGAAAGTAATAATATTATTATATTATATTATTATATATATAAAGTTATATGTCAAGACATTCAATTGTGATAAGTTAACTCACAATATTAGGTTATATATAAGTTGTAACTAATTGGTGCTATCATTCTTTACAGAGGATTTACTAGATACCGATTGTAAGAAGCTAATCCTAAACTAAAATGTTATTCATATACAGAATAAAAATGCTAATCCCCCAGGTGGTGCCTAAAACAGTAGAAATAACAGTGTTGCCCTGGTTACTGCAGTAAACAAAGCAGCGTGACGTCAAATCGAGCAGGATTTTACCGATTAAATAAACTACGCAGCATCCCGATGTTTGAGATTAAATTCAGGCAGACTTTAGCATATCAATACAAAACCTAATGCCTTGTAAAATGAAACAGCTCTAAATTTATTGATCAGCTTTTAATAAGACACCCTGAATAAAGTAACATTAATATTAGTACACCATTATTTGTGTATTGTTATTGTAAAGTGTTACAGATACCTTCAGAATGTCAAGTACAAGATTACTAACAAGTATGAAGGTATTGTGAATGCATACTGTAACAAGTATTATTCATGTATGAATGATCTTCTTCTTAATAATCATTCAGATGAACCGCTCCGGATTATTTTGGTCGGAGTGACAGGAGCAGGAAGAAGTGCCTCAGGCAACACCATCCTTGGAAAGAAAGTATTTCAATCGGAGATCTCCTCTTCCTCTGTGACTAAGCGATGTGAAACTAGTAATGCAATAGTACATGGAAGAAATATATCAGTTGTGGACACCCCAGGCCTGATTGACAGCAGCCTAACAAGAGATGAGCTGATGGACAGAATTAAACAATGCCTTCCTCTCTCAGCTCCTGGTCCACATGTGTTTTTAGTTGTGATTCAGCTTGGCAGATTCACTGATGAAGAAAAAGAAGCTGTTAAAACCATTCAAAACATTTTTGGTGAAGAGTCCTCCACGTACACCATGGCTCTGTTCACTCATGGAGATCAACTGAAGGGCAAAAATATTCACAGATTTATACGGGACAGTCCTAAACTGCTCCGCTTCATCAAAACCTGTGGTGGAAGATTCCATGTTTTTAATAATGAAGACCAGAATCCTGAACAAGTCCTAAAGTTGTTTGACGATGTTGACAAAATAGTGACAGGCAATGAGGGCCAACATTACATCAGTGAGATTCTGGAGCGAGAGAGGGCGATCGAGGCTGAAAAACAGCACATCCTGAGAGAGAAAGAGGAAGACAAGAAGAAGGAAACGGAAGCTCTGAAAGCTACTCTTGAACGTGTAGCATTTTTAAAGGCAAAAGAAAAACTGGACAACATGTATGAACAGCAGGCACGATGGCAAGCTGTGCAAAAGATTGATGTGCAGAACGGTTGGTCATTTCTTGATAAAGTAAAAACTTTTTTCAAAAGAATCTTGAAACTTAAAGAGTGTGTGAAAGATTTAATCTTTGTGATTAGCGTTGTAGCTAATACATTCTGAAACCTGAAGAAAAAAACAACTATCAAATCAGATTAAATCTTTCAGATTTACTATCTGGTTGTGCAATAATATGAAGATATTGTCAGGAATTTGTAATTGTCAATTATTTAAGCTGTCCTGAGAGACGCATTCACACATTCACCACTATTTACAGCACAGCTATTTAGCTCAAAAGAGCACCATAATATATGTAGCCTAGACAAAGTCTTTCATTAATCTCTTTTACGATAAACCTGCAAACTATTTCCATTTAAGAAGACATGCTGCACTCAGTTGCAGAGAAGCCTGTGTTTAGCATGTACTGTTGTATCTACTGAAATTATAACAAAAATATAGCTGTTGTGGCAGTGTATAATGCAAATCTTCAAATATAAACCCAAATAGTACTTTATGTATTTGTACAGAAAATGTAAGGACTTTTCTAATCATAAACTACTGAATGCTAATGTGGAAATGTAGCCCTCCATTTTGTTTATGAAGTAAACAATATGGTAGCTGTACATATGTGTTTAGAACTGGATGTTACTGTACAGAGTGATTTGTATGTCCTTTTTTCATGCTGTTATTTATCATACAAACAAATAAAACAGGTGCTTTTGTACTAATTTGGTCATTGTGGTTGATGTGTACTATACAGTTCTCAGCATAAATGAGTAAACCCCTCACAAATATGTGCAATTCATATTTTTAATAGGAAGCTATACAATATTATATTTGTGCATATACATCAGATTAGTCAGTACTGAAGCCAAAACTGTAGCTTATCTAGCAAAATAACTTACAATAACAGTTCAAAAATTATTACACCTGAATGTACAGAGTGGGCCATTTATATGGATACACCTTAAAAAAACTTCTTGGGAATTTCACACGAAAAACAACAGTGTGCTTGGTTTTAACGTAACTTTATTCTTACATTAGTTATTTACGAGCCCCCTCATATATACTAATGTGTCACAAACAGGACGTTAATATCACCAACCATTCCCATTTTATTAGAGTGTATCCATATAAATGGCCCACCCTGTATATGTTAAGGGAAAATATTGAATTTTAAAAAATAGCAAAAATCAAGGGATTTAAAAATATATACGATTATGTTGAGATGTAGTAGTTTGTAACTTATTTTTGCAATAATTTGCATGAATTTAACTTTTTATCTTTCCATTTCTAAAGATGTTCTGTGTCTACAATATTATTTTAATACATATATCTTTTTTAAAAATCTGTTTTGTTTAATTGCACCAATATATATTACCCATAGTCACTGAGAAATGGATAAAAATATTCATTTTCAAAATGGGGTTTACTTATGTATGCTGAGCACTGTATGTACTGCTCAAAAAAAAGGGAAAACCTAAATACCACAATGTATCTGCAAGTGTTCACACTATTTTCTTGAGCAGTATATTTGAAGATGTGTTAAATATTTTTTGTTGCCCATATGAAAAAAAAATACAATAGTAATCCATAGCAAATTGACCATATTATTGACTTTACTCTTTCACATATAAGCAGGCGCAGCCATCAGAACCTCATTTGTTTAGGTCTCATTCACTTCCACTGATTTCTAGCTGTAAAAGAAGAAAAAAAAAAATGCAAATACTTTGTTTCAAAATACATGTAACTCATGTTCCAAGTGTGCCTATAACAATCTTTCTTTTACTTCATCATATAAAACTAAACATGCAATGACATTTAGGGAATTGTAGGCTGTTTTTTAAATTTGAATCTCTACTGTATTTGTCAAAATCATTGCTAGTGATAATCATTACTCTTGATAAAATAATACTTATCATACAAATTAGCAAGCATTATGATATTGTATTTTGTTTGGCATTTATTTATGTCCTTATGTAGGGTTACCACACGATGTTTCTCAAAGTACATAGTTATTAACACTGCATTCAAGCAATGTAGTTCACTATATGCCCATGGCCTTGCTAGTCACAGATATAAATACATAGATACTTCATTGAAATAGTTTCTAAGTTAAAGCCTGTCTGTAAATAACTGAGATAAAGTAGATTGTGTGACAACATATAAGTATGTATAAATATCTGTATCTTCAAAAGTCTTCAGCAGATGATTTTATTCAATGAACACAAGACAGCTAAAGGTGTTAGTTCATTTATCTCATTAATAAAATGAACAGTTTTTTTTTGTTCAACTTATAATGTAATAGCAGCTTTACTACAACTGCCATAGTTAAACTTGGGTAGCAGAACTATGGAGACTTTTCATATACCATCACTTAAAAATCTACCACATTAGTAATTTATAGTAATACTACAGTGTTTTGAACCATACTATAATTCATTCATTGACTTTCCTTCAGCTTAGTCTTTATTTTAGTGGTCGTCACAACAGAATGAACCACCAACTGTTTCAGCATATGTTTTATGCAGCTGATGCCATTCCAGCCACAACCCAGTATTGAGAAATACCCAAACACAATCATTCCCACACAATCATACACCACAGACAATTTAGATTATTTAATTTACCTATTGCGCATGTCTTTGGACTGTGGGGGAAACCAGAGCACCCAGAGGAAATCGACACCAAAATGGGGGGAACATGCAAACTGTAAGGCAACAGTGCTATTAGACAAAATCTCTGGATGTTGTATGTACAGATTTGTTATAAATATACAGGTTATAAGGTGCTGTGTACAAGTGTGTATGAGAAAGTATTACATAGTGTATCGTTATAAGGTGCTGTGTACAAGTGCGTATGATACAGTAGTGCATGTTTATTGCACAGTAGATGGATATTTAACTGTTCATGAGGTAGATGGCCTGGGGAAAGAAACTTTTCCTGTGTCTGGCTGTTTTTGTGCTCGGTGCTCTGTAGCGCCAACCAGACGGTAACAGTAACAGAAAGTAACAGACGGTAATAGAAAGTGTGCTGGATGTGAGTGATTTTGCGAGCCCTTTTACTCACTCTGGAAGAGTACAGTTCTTGAAGTGTGGGAAGGGTAGTGCCAGTGATTCATTTAGCAGTCCGGACTGTTCGCTGTAGTCTACGGAGGTCGGTTTTGACAGCTGAGCTGAACCAGACGATGATTTACTGTGCAACACTGTGACTGCTGACTAGGCAAGACATTGAGATACAGCCTACTTACACTCACTCACCGGAATTGGACCCCCTTTTGCCTTCAGAACTGCTTTAATCCTTCGTGGCATAGATTCAACAAGGTACTGGAAATATTCCTCAGAGATTTTTGGTCTACATTGACATGATAGCATCACGCAGTTGCTGCAGATTTGTGGGCTGCACATTCATGATGCCAATCTCCTGTTCCACCACATCCCAAAGGTGCTCTATTGAGTTTTGGTGACTGTGGAGGCCATTTGAGTACAGTGAACTCATTGTCATGTTCAAGAAACCAGTTTGAGATGATTCACGCTTGATGACAAGGTGCGTTATCCTGCTGGAAGTAGCCATCAGAAGATGGGAACACTGTGGTCATAAAGGGATGGACATGGGCAACAACAATACTCAGGTAGGCCGTGCTCAATTGGTACTTATGGGCCCAAAATGAGCCAAGAAAATATCCCCCACACTTTTACAACACCACCACCTGCTTGAACCAATGGTACAAGGGTGGATGGAACCATGCTTTCATGTTGTTGACGCCAAATTCTGACCATACCATCCGAATGTCACAGCAGAAATCGAGACTTATCAGACCAGGCAACGTTTTTGCCAATCTTCTATTGTCTTCTATTGTTTTGTTTATCCTGTGTGAATTATAGCATCAGTTTCCTATTCTTAGCTGACAGGAGTGGAACCCGGTATGGTCGTCTACATGTTGTGCATTCAGACCAGCCAGTCAGTCACCAACAACCATGCCACGTTCAAAGTCACTCAGGGCCTACTCACACTATGCCATCCATACTGGCCCAGGCCCGTTTCCCGGATCGTTTGAGAAGTGTAAGTGCGCTGAATCGGGCTCAAGCACGGTTCACTTGGCTGGCCCTGGCCCGGTTGGAAGAGGTGTGCCTGAGCGCGGTTCACTTGGGCTTTGGCACGGTACACTTGTGTGTGAGTGCAAAACGTGCCAAAGCCCGAAACTGAAAGCGAGACGTGACTTTTACGGGGCTGTTTCATATGGATTTATTAATCATTCTTACTGTTCAGTGATCGCAAACTGCCGTAGATTATTAAAGACAGCTGCGTGGCTTCAGCAGACCTCCTCATCCCTGCAGAGAGCTTTATGATTGTTTTTCAGCACCAAAAGTGGCGGATTTGTACGGCGAAATATCTGACTGCGTGTCACCGCATCCCTAAGGACTGTTTGGCGAAATATTTGACTGCATGTCACTGCATTTTAAACGACTGAAACGATATAACTAGAGAAATCTCCACTGTGCTGCTGAGTGAGAGAGCGCTTCTTACTGAACAGCGCAGCAGCGATGACGTAAGCATGCCGAGGCCCATTTGTGGTGTGAGCGCGGGCCGTCAGGGGAGACGGGAGGGGGGACAAGCGTGCTTTGGCCGGGTTCGAGGCAACTGTACCTAGTGTGAGTACGGCCTTAAATCACCTTTCTTCCCCATTCTGATGCTCAGTTTGAACTGCAGCAGATTGTCTGGACCATGTCTACATGCCTAAATGCATTTAATTGTTGCCATGTGATTGGCTGATTAGAAATTTGAGTTAAGGAGCAGTTACACAGGTATACCTAATAAAGTGGCCGGTGACTGTATGTTGCAGGTATACATCTACTACAGGTACAACAACACAGCAAGTTTTTGGATCACCATATTCATCATACTGAATCTGTCTAAACTTATGCACCATGCAGCCGTGTTTTCCATAAAAGAAATGCTTGGGGGAAAAGTAGCAGGAGATCTCAAACAATAAAATCAAATTAATTTAAAAACTTTAAAGACTAAAGGGTCAATTATTTTGCAATATAAGGTTTGCTCAAGTTACTCACTAATGGTATAAATAAATAGAGATGTGGGATATTGTCATGGTGTAATCTGCGTTCCTAGATAGGCTGTTGAATGACCGTGGGCGCGGTTTGAATGCGCGAACTTCCCTTGCCAGACGGAAGGCAAGAAAGGAGACGTTGACGTGACAATAAATAACAGGACTAGCATTAATACACCAACGTAAATTAATAACTAGGCATATATACTGCGTGCTCGGTGAAATACCGCGTACAACATCTGTCGAAACCGGGCACGTGCGGATAACTGAGAGCGCTTCCCCGTGGAGGAGCCCGTACTCCCAGTCCCAATAATACTTCAAACTGCATTAAAGTAAGTTTAAGTTAAGTGTATGAGTTCTGTAATCGTCCTCGTATCATTCTAGTAGACTTCTATTACTTACAGTAGCCTAGGCATAACTTGCATGCAGTGGCGGATTAAGGCATGGGTAATGTGCATCTGCATCTTGCTAGGGGCGGCATGGAGACACCGGGCGGCACGACCGATCGTTTGCCCAGAGCACCGTTTAAGCTTACGCCGCAACTGCTTACCTGTAACCTGCGACAACATAGGCTAAAATAATATACGCGCAGTGGTGGTAAGAGTACAAAAAAATTGTACTCAATTACAAGTACTGTTACATTGCTGAAATTGTACTCAATTA